CGACTTCTTGAGAAGAATTCTAAGAAGAAAGTAAACCTACAGACATCGGTCTTGTTTAACAAAATCTGCCTAATGCATGCAAAATGAATGTCAAATATAATATTGTGAGCCTAAAATATCACCTCACCACTAATTAAGAATTTAAAATTGGATGATTAGTGGTACTTGCAAATTAATTAATTGATGGCCTCAATAATCACATTCAATTAATCAATTAGTACACTCACACACACCCTTGAAACAGTATGAGCAAGAAAAAAAAGTGTGTGTGTGTGTGTGTGCTACCTTCATAATTTTTTCAACTGCAGCATTCATCTAACATTGCATTACTCTCCCTATTTTCATTCACAATATTTTTTTGGTTTTTATACAGTGATTTATGAATTACCCTTTATTGCATATGATAAATCTCTTCTGAAGGTCATCAACTATGAACATTTCCTATCTGGTAAAGGAATCTCTAATGTTGACTAAATATCACCATATGGTTCTTTTTTTTTTCAAATATGCAGTAATTCCAAACTGATTTTCTGTGAATCAAGTAAATTGGTTATTAAATAATTAAATCATATTTTGTTGTCACTGATAAGGGTAATAAAGTTTTTGTTTAAAACATATTATAATGGTAAATAAAAATAGTTAAGTAGCCTATTAGCCAATTTATTTATGAACATTGTTTGAATAACATAAGCAAAAAAATATTCAATAAAGATCTCAGTCATCAGAATATTTTGTATTCACCTTCCATACACACTAGAAAGTAAATTTATCTGATTTGACAGAAGTTTATTTGATGAACTTAAAAAAAAATCTCATGTTTACAAATTGTGCAACTTAATAAAACCATAGTATATCTATTAAAAAGTCAAAACACCATAATTTTAAACAAAGAATGAAACATAAACAAGATATCTTTATTAAATCTTAAGCAATCTCCACTCATTCTGCACTTTATTCCTGTGTATAGGTAAACTACTTAAACCTGATGATGATTAAACTTTATCTGAACATTGTACATTTGTTACTGTGTTAAACTTGCAATAAAGTTTTCTTTGTTACACATTCACCCTGTCTCTAAACTGTATACCCTTAACTTATCTCAAGTTATCTGATATCTTTTCACTGAACAGAATTTCAATAGCTTTCAAACAGATATAATTTAACACAAAAATATTCACAAGGAACAACTACAAAACTTATAAAAAAAAACTCTCTTAAACCTATATATTTACTCTAATAATGTGGGAAAGTGTAATTTTTGTTCAATCGTATCTAAACTTTCTTCAAAGCTGTGTTTCATTAGTAAATGATCAAACCACTTAATTTGGTACCATAACAAGTGGCCTGGGCAAAAACTAAGGGAAACACTTGACAACATATTCTCAAGGGGTGATAGGTTCTTAGCAAAAATCATGTTATTGTTTACGATCGCTAGAAAAATAATTATAAAAAAACATAAAAGGCTACAAGTGGGTTGTTTTGTTTACAGGCAAATCTTTTTGCAGCTGTGGAGAAATAAAAATTAAAACAATTTTTTCTTCACAATTACGTTAAACAAATATCTTGATTCTACAATATTTTTAGTCAAACTGCATAAATGAAATTAGAATTAACATGTAAAATTGCATTAAATATTTCTGACAAAAGAAATCTTGCCTTCAGGTACAATAAGTTAGGTGTAAGTTCCTTTATCAATTTTAAACTGTTTTACATGAAAATGTTTCACACACAACCTACAAAAACCCGTAACAACCTGAAAATGTGATTAATAGAATACTGTGCATTTCTATATATAAATTTCCACAAGACTACTGTAATAAAACCACTGAATTTTTTAATGAAAATAAACATATTATTTCATGACATTTTCAAACTTTAATATTTTCCTACACTAAAAATATATTTCCAACAAAATAGCTTTCCTCTGTTTGAACTGCCCTCTATGTATGCAAAAATGCCTTTATGCTCCCACCTACCTCCACATATTTTCCACGTGGTATAGCTGTGTTGTACTATGCAAGTAAGCAGGTGACAACCCTCCACCAATTGAAGTGCAATATACCCTCCTCGTGCAGATGACTCCCTCTATGCAATAGAACTCAATCTTCACTTCGAGATTAAGCAGAAAAAACACACCAGAAGTGGGGAAGACAAGTTGGAAGTGTGAGAGGAGGTAAGTATCTCTTGGAAATATATTCAGTGTAGGAACATAATAACTTCCAATAGGATAACTTACCTCTTCTCAAAAAATAGCTAGAATCCCACATTGAGCAGGTTGAGAGACTGGTGTAAAAGTTACCTAGAAGAGTTCCCAAGGAGTGTGCCACTTTCAATGTACTTTACCCGTGATGAATGAACGTGTCATGAAACGGATGGTAAAGAGGCATAACTGAAAAGTAAAAAGTGCCTGTGATGTAGAGTGACTAGGGTGTGTCAGACCACAAGCAGGAAGTCAACTCCAGTCCAAAACCAGTGGTACCGAGAAGGGATCAATCAGCCACTGTAGAAGGAGGGTCTTCTACCATTCACCTTAGACCCAAAAAACAGAAGGGAAGAAGTCCTTCTATTCTGAGAACCCAAATCAACATGTATGATATCCAACATGACCAACACATGTACCCCCTGAGAACGATGGTAGGAAGGTAGAAATGCAACGTGGAGGGTCAACTCCAGTCCAAAACCATGCAGCACTGGGAATGGACCATCCAGTACGTTGCCCCAACCAACACCTGTCACCCAGGAACAGACATCCAGATGGCAGTAGAAAGAAGGATTCCCAGTTGGAGGGGTGAACTGCACATTGGAATGTGACAGAAATATCCAGTCCACACCATACAACATCTGGAACAGTATACTGGAATAGTGGAATTGAGCATACCCAGGAGGAAGCCTCCCATACTCGATTAGAAGGAGGAGGAGGAACATGTCTATGAGTCTGGAGAAATGCAGCACTAGAAAAAATGCAATGAACAACTGCAAAACACTATTTTGAAAAGCAACCATACAACTGACACAATTAAGGGGACAACAGGTATGGGCAGTAATCCCTTCTGCTTTACTCATGTGAGTCCATGTGTGTATGGTCTGGGACAAACATATTTAAGAAACAAGACCTACTAGGAAGAACCTATTATCAGTCCTGCAGAAAACCCCATCTGAACGGTGGGCATTATTGACCTTATTGGCCATATAGTGCAGATTTAAGAATAAGTATACCTGGAAAGCCATCATTTGCTACAGAGTGGGATCCAATACAGAAGAGCAAATAGGCCTATGTCAGAGGAAAAGACACCCACTCACAAATGAAGGATGGTGAAAAAAGACAGATAATATCCAGCCAAGAAGGAAACTGCCAGACAATGGAGATAATGTGACACAAATGTATGTAGAGTGGTCCACATGCTGGCCTGAACAACCTCCTCCAAAGGATGATGAATAAGGGCAGCCAAAAACATGGTAAAATGGCGAATCTGATGTGAGGAGACACAGAAAAGGCGACGGGGGGAAATGGAGGGAAATTCAGACCTCCATAGATCTGCACCTACTTATACAATATTAAATAATATAATTATTAATTTCTGAAAAAATAAAAAGGTGAAGGGGTTTGGCCCTGGCCCCTTCTCCTAAATTCATACCAAATTATACAATATTAAAGAATAATTATTAATTTCTTATAAAAAAAAATGGAAGCAGAATACTGGACTCCTTAGACCCACACCTGTATATACAACATTAAATAATACTAGCAGAAATACCCACCCCTCCAGGCCGGTATAACTGCTAGTTCCTGCAGAAGGCTATTGTGCCAACAGCATTTTCTGACAGTTCTACAACAATGTACTCATACTTGACATTCAATAATGTTCACTAGCCATGAGAAAAAGGATTTTATTGAAATTTTAGTTTAAAAATGAGCTATCAACACAGAGTAGATTTTATTGAGGTATTTCTTTGTAGATGCAGTTATCAATGAAAGTGCCTTGCTTTACTGTTACAACACTCATGAGATTTTCACTGAAAAAAATCAAAAAATTTTTTAAGTTTGTTTACGATTGTTATATAATTGAAACTTACTTCTTTTTTTGTAATTGTTATTGGTTAAATCTGAAACTTACTCCTTTTTCTTTGTAATTTTTATTGGTTAAATCTGAAACATATCATTTTTGTGGTAATCTCAATTGTTTTATAAAAACAAAAAAGCTATAAAAATACTGCCTAGTTATAAAAATATTATTCAGTTATGACTGGCGATGATCAGTGTGATAGTTTCCATGATCTGAGTTTTGAACATATACATCACAAGCTCCATTATAATAAGATAGTTACTAATTTCTGAAAATATTGGGTAAGGGTTTGGCATCCTGGATCTCTTTCCAAGATCCACACCTGTTTATATAACATTAAAGAATGCAGTTATTGATTTCTGAAAAATGTCAGTGCCTGCTTATACAACATTAAAAGAATATAGTTAAATAATTATAAATTAGAAACATAACACAATGTACAAAAACAGTAAATTTACACTTTATTTAACAATTAAATAGCCAGAGAGTTGGTTATGAATGCTGTCAGCTAGTTGTCTCCTCTCTAATCAGTAGTTCAAAATTAGTGACAGGATGAGCAAATTTAGTGGTAATAAGAATCAAACCCAACACTCTCAAATTACAAGGCTTCAAGACATCCCCCCTCCACCCATTATGTAGTTTGCTTAACAACAAATATAATGGCAATATTTCAATTACTTGCACAGTTTGAATAATTAAAAACAGTAGATATTTGGAAACCCTAATTTCAATTAATTGATTATTTTTGTGACAATCAATTTAATCCCAACTTTGATAAATCAAATGTTGGATAATCAGAAATGGTAATAATTGGCAACACTTTTCTTTGATTAATTGACTATTTTTCTGACATTAATTGATTAATCATTAGCAATCGATGTGTTTGAAGGAAAACGAAGTTTGATAATAAACAAGATTATGACACTTATGATATACAACATTTTAAATTATCCAATCGAAACCTACAAAATTCTTCAGCTACAGGACTTATCAAAAGAAATTGTTGGATTAAGAACTTCGACTGAAACACCATCAGAAGAGACAGCTTACTGAAAAGTTTAACGTGGACACAACCAATCTTCAGAACGCTGTTAGTAAATTAGAGTACCCATCTACTAAACAAGTTCAGCCAACACAACGACAGAAAAATTGCCCAAATTGAAATGTCCAAAATCTGAAGCTGAGCAAACTGACTAAGAACTTTTCTGATAGTTTTGATCCTGATAATTTGAATGTGAACCTCACTAATATTATGCTAAGTAACCAATGTAAATTCACCCTAGCTAAAGGTCTTAATTTCTCTCTTCCTCCATGAAAACTGAATTATGCTAATTTTCTTTATTCATTCGACCTGCTATACAGAAACCTGAAAGATCTTCCATGTACAATAAAGGCAGTCTTGAACAATCCCATGATTTTTTTTATTACTAAATTAAAAAATTTTGTCCTGTCTACATTTTATAATTTTAATAGTAAGAAAGAACCTAACCCTTTAACCCCTGACGAAATCTTAGTCTTAAAAGAATTGTCACTAAATAAAAACATCCATGTTACACTCCCTGATAAAGGCAATGGCATTGTTATTCTGAACAAAAATGACTACCTTAATAAAATACAAGATATTCTGAATGATTCTACAAAATTTAAAACCTTAAACAATGACCCTTTATTTCCTAGCATCCAACGTGAGGAAAAATCCAAAGGTACCTAAGAGAACTAAAGAACGAAAATATTATATCTGAAAATGTTGCTTCTTCGTTTTATCCCACTGGCTCCCATCTTGGTATGTTATATGGCTTTCCCAAAATTCATAAAGCAGGTTCCTCCCTCTGACCCATTCTTTCCACTATAGGCATACCTAGTTACAAACTTGCTAAATTCCTTGTATCTATACTTCAGCCACTCACTACTAAAGAATATACTATCCCGGATTCCTTCCACTTTGAACATGAACTAAGTCAACTACTCCCCTCTGATAATCTCTTCATGGCAAGCTTTGATGTTACCTCCCTCTTTATAAATATTTCTCTAAATGAAACTATTAACATATGCATATCTGAGCTTTCACGTAAATGGCTTTTCTGAAAATCAAATTAAGACCATGCTGGATCTTACGCCTATAAATTCACATTTCCTGTTCAACAACACCTTGTATGAACAAATAGATGGTATTGCGATGGGCTCCCCACTGGGTCCAACTTTAGCTAATGCATTTCTCTCTTATTACAAACAGAAATGGCTTGGCACCTGCCCAGTTGGCTTTAGGCCTGTTCTGTACAGAAGGTATGTGGATGACACTTTTATTCTTTTTAATAATAGTGATCAATACACAAAATGTTTAGAATACCTTAACTCACAACATCTTGCCATTAAATTTACATGTGAGGTTGAAAATAATAATAAGTTAGCTTTTTTAAACATGCTCATTAACCATAATGCTAATGTATTTTTCATATCAATTTACCAAAAAAAGACATTCACTGGTCTCCTTACACACTTTGATAGCATTATCCCATTTATGTATAAACGAAACCTTGTTACATGCTTACTAAACAGAGCTTACAACCTGTGCTCAACGTCTCTTAATCTACACTCTGAAATTTTGCTCTTAAATGATATCCTGAAACGTAACTGCTGCCCACAACACTTATTAGAAAACATTACCAACAGATATCAACTGTACCAAAACTTACTATGTACTCGTGTCTTCCCTATACTAGTAAACAAAGCTTAACTTTAAAAAATCAGCTTAAACGTATACTTTGTCGTTACTATCCTTAAGTGGATTTCAGATTAGTTTTTAAATCCACATCATGTATAAAAAATGTTTTTCTCTACTAAAGATCTCCTCCCCATTCCTTATTGTTCCTGGCTTGTCTGTCTTTACACGTGTGGAGACTGTAAGGTCTCCTATATTGGCAAAACCAAATACTATTTAAACGTCAGAGCTTATGAACATATGGGAATTTCCAACAAATGCCAAAAAATTGAGTAACTCCTGTGTTTCCTCTATATGCCAACATAGTGAACAGGACATTGACCTATGCTATCAAATTTTTCTATCCTCTGCAAGTCTAATACTGATCTGGAATTATTGATTAAAGAAACCATCCACATCAAACAGCATTCTCCAACACTGAACAACGTGCAGTCTTCATTTAAATTATACATTTTTTAATATGTTCGTATTACTGATTTTACTTTTTTGTTGTGTTTTCTTGCTGTAGTTTCGCCTCATGATTGCTATTTTGTGTTTTATTTGTTTAATTATCGTTAAATTTAGTATTTGTACTTTAGGAATGTATAAAGACTGATGTAAATTAATTTTATTTTGCCTCAGATACTGAAGATGGAATCTGATAGAATTCCAAAATGTTTATCTATGTCCCTTTTTGTTAATAAACAATGTTGTATATCATAAGTGTCGTAATTTTGTTGATTAACCATAAATTCAATTAATCAATTAGTTTAAAAGACACTGATCAACGAGTGATCAAAACATTGAACCTGTTTTAAAAATATTCTTCCTCACTGTAAAATTCGTAACTTGTAATAAAATAATATCCTGAATTATTGACAAGAAAAAACTTTAAAGAATCTACAGAATAAAAAAAGCCATGTACAATAAAAATGAACCAAGAATAAACACTTGGATGCCAAGAGATCCGGACCAGTGAAAGTAAATTCTGCAAAGGAGTACTTTTTTTACACTGCACTAGTTTTGTTAAATGATTATCTTTCAAATTCAACTAAGTTCTTATTGTACTAATACAAAATTCTCATATTTTGAGCTTTTATAATTTTCTTCTTTTTTTTCAAAACTTGGTTAATCCTTTTTAGGGTTTTCTAGGGTTTGTCATCCAGTCCACAGTAGGAAGAGGGTCCCTACAGTTTTCACCTCAAGAAAAGGAAGCAGAATTGAAACAGCTTCCTAGAGGCATCCTCCTGAATATGCTCAATCCTATTCAGTTGAGACTAGGGTGGTGCTGTTTTGTCAGTGTAGATGGTGTGAACCCTCCTCCTACTGCAGACTAGAAGAAACATACCTGAGGCTGCCTGGTTATGAACTGGAGATGATCTACCAAAATGTAGTTCACCATTCTGGCTGGGACCCCTCACCCTACTGCCACCTGGATATCAGTTCCCAGGTGGTCTGGTGTTGGATTAGAGCTAAACTAGCCCACTAAGTTTTCACATATGGCTGGTAGGAAGCCCTCATCCTACCATGGACCGGACAATAAATTCCCAATGCCACCTGGTTTTAGATCTGAGTGAATCATCACATTACATCCCCCCTTCCTACTGTCACTCAGATGTTCATTTCCTGGGTGGCCTGGTGTTGATTGTGAACTGGGTCTGCACACATGTGCACTGATTGGGATGGTAGGATCGAAGTCATGGACTATCATGAGTAAAGCAGTTTCGGGATAGCTGCCTATTGCTCCGATCCTGATTGAATAAATTGAGAGCTGCCTGTTTTTCAAAATAGAGTTTCATGGTCACCCATTGCACCTTCTCCAGTGTTGCATTCCTCCAGACTCCCCAGTGTGTTTCTCCCATCTTTGAGTGGAGTATGGGAGCCCTTACCATGTACTAACTCCTAACTGCTTGGGTGGTGGACCATATGGTCTGGGGTGGACATAATTATGATGCAAAACCCAGTGGCCTTATGAAACACCCCATATCAACAATGGGCATTTATAAATTAGTATGCCACTTGCCTCAGAGCAGAATCCAACATGTAAATTAGTGACCCTAAAAAGGAAGTAAAGAAATATAAAATTACCCACTCACAATTGAACAAAGGTGTAGAAAATGTATTTGGTATTCAGATGAGGAAGAGACGGTCAAACGATGAAGGTAATGGGAGATGAATGTGTTAGGTGTGGTCCACATGCCAGCCCAAATGAGTTCCTCCAATGGAAGATGGAAATAAGCAGCCAGGAAAAGGGAGAGGTGCCAGATCTGATGAAAGGACACTTGGAAAAGATATCAGGAATCAGAAGACAAGGAAGAATAAGCCAATTTGTTAAGCTAGGATATCTATCTCATAGGGTAGTAGGGAAAATATCACAGTGAGAGGAAGAGTTCCAATGGATAAACGAACAGGAACTGCGAAAAGAAGTTGTGCGGACAATATAACATCAGACAGCACAAACAGGACAGACAAGACAATCTGGATCAGAGCAGAAATACAAATGGGAAATGGAAGGTTGGGAAATAGGAGTGAAAGTAACATCACCTTCACAAACTTCTGACATCTTTGGAAAAAACTGTAATCTGGATACAAGAGAATGAGACAACAAGGGGTATATGTTCAATCACCAATGTATATTGTCAAAAAGGGAAGTTATGAGGAGAATCCAAAGGAACCCTAGCAAGAGACCATGGGTTATGCAGCATTTCCTCAAAAGATTGCCAATGCATCAGACCAAAAGGGAGTAGTGCTACCATAGAAGCCACATCCCCTATACATTAGAACCTTGCTAGCTGTAAGATAGTGAACTGTAATGGCATGGATAACAGAAAGCTACATTGAATGCAATTGAGGAGAAGAATGGATGGTCCTGACAAATGTGGGTATTTAAAAAGGCATTCCCCAATAGCCAAGATTGTTAGCTAGGTAACAGGAAAAACTCATCCAACTGGAAAACCCAACCACCCAAGCTGCAGTAAAAAGCAGATGAGTATGTTATGATTATCCCCATTCCAAAGGATCTAATCCAAAGCCAGATGTCCAAGTAGTGGAATTAGTAAAATCCCTCAAAATGCAGAAGTTGGGTAAAACACAGACCACCTGACAAAAGGCATACAGAATGAAAACAAATTCAAAGGGCAAGGCACGAAATTGGTACCAAATCACATGGGGAAAAACTCAGATAGTGTCCCAAGAAATGAAAAATAAGAACGTGTACCATAAGCATTCTCAGTCCTGCAGAAATTGCCCACCCAACTGTGATCAAATATTACATTTTAAAATGGAGAAGAACCAAGAAGTAACTGAGGTGGGACTGATTGATCCAGAACTCCAATCAGCATTGATCATAGAAGAACACTGAAGAATGTAGAAACCTGTAGGTAGGACAGGAAGGTTCTGGACATGGAACATGAATAAATATGACCCCGAATTCAACAAAAGAGCAACAAAAAAAAATATAATATAGCATTGCAGATACTCCACATGATGCTAAATGCACGGGAGGAGCCCCAAAAATGGACAGGTGGAGAAAAAGAGCTAACCATAAGTCCTTATTAGAAGTGGATGGTAAATAAACAGTACAAAACAGTGTCCCACCACAGAAAATCCAAAAACAAAAATGCCACATGTAGATGGAAAGAACTGAATATGAAAAACACCCCAAAATGGAGAGAAAGATGAAGAGGTATCCCATGAAAATCCTCTAGATATAAGTGGGATGCCTAAGAAAGAAGGTGTAAGGTAGACATTTCCTGTAGGAGAGTCATTAGGGTAAGACAAAGCTTGAAAACTAGGTGGGGAATAAAATGGATAGGATTAACAGAGACTGCCACCAATACAGGCAACAGAATACATAAAATCAAGAAGAAAATCTGCCTGATGGTAAGCTAAGGCAAACTAAAACAAAGTCTGTGGAGGGCAAGGTATGCAAGTACCCTCACCCAAAAGAGAGCCAAAAATGCTTATCATGAAACATAATGCCTGGAGAAGAAGGGTAAAATTACACTTTGAAACGTGTCTAAAAAAAGGCTGAGGTAGGCCTAGCAGATTCCATAGTAGAGGCCTGGGAAGGCAAGCCATAAACAGGTGGAAGAAAACTGACAAAATCTAATTCATCCTAAACAGGTCCGGCAGTTGTAGGAGGAAGGCAAACAATCTTGGAAGAAGGTAGGGTGCACCCTGTCCCCCAGGGGTTCTTACAAACTAAATTAA